TTTCCTTATCATCAGCCCCATGCTACCGATGAAGAAATCACAATCAGGCACAGAGGGGTTAAGGGGTGTGCCCATGGCCATACAGAACAGGTGGCTGGGCCCCAAGTCTCCTGACTGAGTCGTCTGCTGTTTCCATTACGCCACACTGGCCGAGCTGTTCCTCCACGAAAGCTTGACCCTCCCCGTGCTCTCAGCCAAGTTACTGCTGCAAAAGCCAAGGCTACTCGCCAGACAGGGAGGGAGGGGAGGGGGGAATCATGAAATCATCCAACTTCAGGGTGTCGCAGCCCCACGCGGGCCGGCCTCCTTGCCTGGTCCTTGGGATCAGCCCCTTCTTCCAGCTTCCCTCTCTCAGGTGTGGGGCTGGGGGGCGGGGCAGCCCATTTCCAGGACAGCAGGACCCTCTGGAATTCCAGGACTCTCCCACTCCAGGTGCCCATCTGGGACTCTTTAAAGCTGGCTTAAGCCCTGTCTTTAGAAGACTTTGTTACAGGAGGGGAGTCTAAGGCAGCTATTTATGTTGCAGCAAACCTCCAATTCTTACTAATTATGCTGGGGTTGGAGGGAAGGAAACCTCACTTTTAAGTTCTGGTAGAAATAAGAAAGTTGAGTTAGAACAGGAGAGTGGAGGGAATACAGGCTTCAGACCAGGATGCCTTGTTATCCAACCCTAGCTCAAAAACGTTCCCAAACAATGTCACCTTGGGCAAATCCCATGTGAGCAGAGCGACAGCAGATGACAGATAACGCTTACTGAGCAAAGCACAACTGACTGAACTGTCACGACAGATGTGAGCAAGGTGCTTTCATTCTTAATACGGTATGTGGATGGGGAAACTGAGGCTCAGAAACATACAGCGGTGACACTGAGCTGAGACCCGAAAAGGCAAAGCTGAGATGTGAATGAACCCAGGTTTGCCTAACCCCAGAAGTCAAGGTCTGAAGCCCTGGGCGAGGCTGGAATAGGGAACTCGGCAACACAGTCAAGCTCCCCACACACTGCCTGGCCCATAGGCTGCCAAAGGGCAGCAGTGAGCATTTCTGTCCGTGCCACCAGGGCCTCCTCCCCACCCTCTTTTCATTGAACCTCCTCCTCTAGATGATGCTGTCCCACCCGCCCCCCCCCCTCTGGCCACAGCTAGCAGGCTCGGGGGGTGGACTCTGACCCAGGAGGCTGACACTCAGACGCTCTCTCCCAGAGACTGGAGCCGAACCCACCAGCTCCAGTGCCTCGACACTGGGAAGGGCACTTCAACTTGGGGACTGAAGGTGCCGTTTGGCGGAAGAAGCTGGCGGGAAAGGGAGCAGGTTCGACGGGAGAGCTTGTGGCCACGTGACACACGGCCCGGGAGCTGCCAGGCTTTCGGTGGGTCATTCTGTTGCTGGTTCCGGGCCCCTGTGAGGCCGGCTGTACTCCTGGCTCTGGTTTCCATGGGGGCACACTGGCTTCCTCTCATCAGTCCACCCCCACTTCTCTCTGCCTAAGCTAGCTGAGTGGGTGTCTGCTCTGTGGATGCCAATAATCCCTAGGCTAGCAATCACCCATGTCACTCATCTCTGCCCCCTCTGTTCCTTCTTGGAAGCACCAGGCAGGCAAGAGGCCTCTGAAAGCAAAAATATAGGTAGCACCGCTGCCCCTGTAACATGGACCCTCGGTGCATGAAAAATCAGTCTAGCAACTTGCAAAATATTTACCCGACACCCAGGCTCTAAAGACCTGCCGAAATGGATCTACATAAATCACTCTTGCGTCTGGGCAAGAGGTATGGATCTCTGTCTTTCTCACGCAGGACCACGTTCGGAGGTGTTGGGCATTACTGCTATCATCTTTCCTGCCTTTCCTCCAGGGTCAGCCCTTCCCCCGCCCATGCCCATGTCTGCTCCTGCCAAGTCCCTTTTAGATGGTATCTTAACATCTTTAACATAGAGCCTCTTTGGGTATTGACATTTGGTACATGTTTGCTGAGGACCAGAAGAAAAGTATCATTTGTATATGATACTGTTTGGTTTGCTGCATAGTGAACACAAAACATCACTTATGAGTTCATTACATATTAAGTAATTAGGTAACTGGTGTCAACTGCTGTCCAGTATGCAATGACTTAGCAATGTATAATGTAGATTGTTTGGTGATACTGGGGAAACAGGTTAGGGGCACATTATTATCTCCCCTCCCCCTTTTAAAATATTGGAGCACAGGCTCTGAAAATTCTCTATTTGACATTTTTAGGAACAGATTAGGTCTGTTCAACCAAGGATGACGGTGGTTAATATCACCTCCAGAGAGAACATGGAAGGCAGAAAGACAGGCTGGTGTGTGGAGGACCCGGGCTGTCTCCTGATGTCCCCACAATGCCTTCTCTACATCGGCTCACAGCTGTTCTCTCCAGGTCTCAGTCCCCACCCCCCTGACTGAGAGGCAGAGCAGGGACCGGATAAGCCCATTGGCCATCACATTCCTCAACCATACCGACTGGCTTTGAGATGAGCCTATGAAACACAACACTGTTTGCTGGGACTTCTGCAAAGTGACCTTTCACTCTTT